ATCGAGCCCCACATCGGGCTCCCTGCTCAGTGGGAAGCCTGCTTCTCCCTCTCCCACTCCCCCTGCTTGTGTTCCCTCTCTTGCTGTGTCTTTCTGTCAAATAAATAAAGTCTTTAAAAAAAAAAAAGGAAATTTTTATCTTAGGAACTTCACTCATTCCCTGTCATCCTTGGTTGGCCACCTCTCTTTTGTCAAAGTGTCTTACAAATATGTTTTTTGTTCAGGCATATCATTTTATATTTATTACTAATAATCTGAGCTCAGTCTTGAAGTCCTACAATGACCATTCATAACCTTAACCTGTAATCATGTTTCATACTCCTTCATATATATTCAACTATTATACACATTAATTTAATATTAGAGAAACCTCAGTGAGCTTTAAGCTTGGTTCTCTGAAGATGTATCTCTCTGTAGATGTATCTCCTTTCAACTGATAAAATATTTATCTCTTTCCCACTCTTGTCATACGCTAAATTTCCTACCACAACTTTGTTTCTTTATTCATCCATGTAAGATAAGAAAAAGAGAAATCATCAGTATTCATTTCCTGTTCACATCAGGTGACAGAAGATAGGTTATATGGGTATCAACTTTGCCGAGGATTTTCCAGTGCTGTAATTATCAACATAAACTATGCTACAAATATATACTTAGTGGCAAGAAATGAGAGTTTCTTGAGGATAATAATATGGCTTTGTAATTTTCTCCTTTTAATTTGATTGGGGAGATTTTGTTTTCCTGGGGCAATTCATTTTGTATAAAGCGTGCTAATGTTATCTTTTTAATCACAGACAAAGGATCTGCTTTTGAAAGCCTCCTACTTAATTCAATGATGGTGTTACCCATGCATAACTTTGGGATGAGCATCAGCAAATATTATGATAACCAAGAGACAAACATTCTGTGTTCCTCAACAGACGTTCCTGCCTTCATAAACTGTAGTAAAGCAAGTGAGTATCTGGGACTCATCAGATACCACTGGCCTATTACTTATTGGATGTAAATAGCTCTACCTATATTATTTTGAATCTTCACAATAACCATCAAGTTATGTGTTGTTATACTCACTTTGAGGAAACTAAAGGTTATACAAAATTGAATAACTTACTCTATCACACAACTTGTACAAGTTAGAGCTAAGATTCAAAACTTTAGCATAATGCATTTTCTTATGGGATAGAATCTCTGCAGATGAATGGATAAAGAAAATGTGATATATATTTATACATCTATGCATATACATACACATATATGCAATGGAATATTATTCAGTCATAAAAAAAGAAGGCAATCTTGCCATTTGCAACAACATGGATAGACTTTGAGGTCATTACGCTAAGTGAAATAAGTCAGACAGAGAAAAACAAATACCATATGATCTCACTTATATGTGGAATCTAAAAAGAAAAACTGAACTCCTAGAGAACAGATCGGTGGTTGCCAGAGACAGGGGATTGGGGATGGGTGAAATGGATGAAGGGGACCAAAAGGTACAAACTACCAGCTATAAAATGAATTAGTGATGGGGATGTAATATACAGCATTGTGACTATAGTTAATACTGTATTGTATATTTGCAAGTTGCTAAAAGAGTGTATCTTAAAAGTTCCCATCACAAGAAAAAACATACCAATATCAAATCATTATGGTATATACTCAAACTAATATAATGTCTGTATGTCAATTATATCTCAATTTAAAGGGACATAATAAAAAATAAACATAAAAAAGATAAAAAAGATATAAACCTACAGATTCAAGAAACTGAATAAACTCCAAATAGGTTAAAACCAAAGAAGTCATGCCAAGAGACATCATCATCGAACCTTGAAAACCAAAAATAACAAAAACATCTTGAACATAATAAAATAAATTAAATTTAATTTAATTTAAATTTAAAAAAAAACATCTTGAAAGCAGATACAGAAAAATAATACATTATCTATAAAGGAGAAACAATTCCCCTAATTTATAGATTTCTCATCAGAAACCATGAAGGCCAGAGCAGTAGCACAACATAATTTTCAAGTGCTGAAATAAAAAAGCTGCCAACTCAAAATTCTATATACCTAGAAAATTCTATATCCTTCTGGATGAAGGGGAAATGATGACATTTTTAAGTGAAGCAAATCTACAGGAATTTGTCACCAGTAGAAACTCTAAAAGAATGGCTAACAAAAGTTCTGTAAACATAAATGAAATGATAAAAGAGGAATTTTGGAACAACAAAGAGTAAAAATATGAATGAATACAATATATTGTCTCCTCTTGAGTTTGACAGTTAAAGCAAAAATAATAACATTGTCTGATAATGTTCTCAATGTATATAGAGGAAATATTTCAGACAATTATAAATTATAAATGGAGATGTTAAAGAGATATAAATCATAGAAAGTCCTCTATCCTTCACTCAAACTGGTAAAAGGAAGACACCAACCAACTGAGCCACCCAGGTGCCCCTATGTAGGTATTTTTAATTTGTAAAAATTTATTGAGTCCTACACTTGGGTGAATTTCTATATATATACATAGTATGTAAAAAAAAAGTATGTGAATTTCTATGTATGTACATGGTATGTTAATAAAAAGTTTTTTAACAGTGAAAAAGGGAGAGTTGATCATCTTCACCTTCCTGATGAGCCTATTATTTTCATAACCATGAATTTAGAACCTTGTAATTATTACCTTTTTCACATAACTGATTGAAAAAATGTCAGCTGTTGAGCACTTCCAACTTAGTTTAAATATTAGTATTCCCTTATAGGTGAGAGTGTTTGCATATGTAGCATATTCTAGGTGATTCTACTGCCACTGCTCCACACTTTCAGAACCACCATCTGAAGTATTTTCAAAGGACGCATATTTTGGGGCAAGGGGAGCCTCTGTTGCTACCCAGTACTCTGATTAGTGTGAACAGGCATTCACTCAAACATCTAATGGATGCCTAGAACTATAGCAAGACAAAATTCATGGAATTAAAGGATCTTAAAGGATCTTGAAGATATCTTGCATGACATACAAAGTCATCAAACACACCATTAAATATAGTATTTTGTGCTTATTTGATAACCATTCTATTTGATTCTATAGTACTTCTAGTTTGTTGACTTCTTAGAGTTTTCTCATTGAATTAATTTTTTAAAGTAAACCTATATCTTTTTCTTTGTCATTGACATCAGTAACTCAGATGAATGTATATAGTTTGGAAAAAGATGCAATAGGAAGATTTTTAGTTGCGATGGCTGTTACGGGATTTATTTTCTTCCTCTTGATTTTCCTTTTGGAGACCACCTCATGGAAAGTGAGAACCTTTGTGTTTCGCTATATTTTCTTTGGTATCTACAAGAAATTTAATAAGGTAAGTAGCTGGCTATGGCTCTTAGAGATATCTCTAAGACCAAAAACATGTCTCTACACATGCCTAACTCCATTATTGAATATAGGAATATAAATCAATCTATGTTGATTGAGATCCATATGAATCAGAGATCTTCATCTTAATTTGAACTTTGTGGTTTCTAAACATTACGGCCTCCACCAGTCAAAATATGATATATTTGATGTAATGTTCCATAATTCATTGTTTTCATATAGCACCCAGTGCTCCATGCAATACGTGCCCTCCTTAATACCCATCACCGGGGACAAAAACTAATGATGTACTGTATGGTGACTAACATAACATATAAAATAAAATAAAAATAAAAAAATAAAATATAAACACAAAAGTAATTAATTTTCAGTTAAGAAAACAAAAAAACACAATTTTTTTATAGTTTGATTATAATAGAAAGCTTTCTTTTGAACATCTTTTGTATCAGAAGGCCAGTCCCTCCCCAAAGTGCTCACGCACCCTAATTTGGCCCCTGGATATTTAACAAACTCCCAGGTGGTATTGATTCTGCCAGCCCATAGAATGCACATTTAATAGTAAGGCTCTATAGCAGTTGCTCTCAAAATCTGGCATTTACCAGATTCTCCTGGAAGTCTTCTTAAAATACAAGTTGCTGGTGTCTGTCCCATGAGTTGCTGATTTTGTGGACCTTAGGTAGGGCCTGAACTTGCATATGTAATACATCTCAAGTGATGCTTCTGCTGCTCCTTCATGCTTTGAGAACCACTGTATGAAATAATTTCAGAAGAAAGAATATTTTGAGGCAAAAAGGAGCCTCTCTGTTACCAAAATAGATGAAATTGCATGACTCTCCCATAAGCTTAGACTTCCAATCCAAATTCTTACCATGCCAATCTGGTCTTTCTTCACAGTTCCCAGTACAGGTCTGACTCCATAGGTAATCAAGATAATGTGCATGAGTAAGGTGTGAATGATAGCACTAATGGAGGCATGAAAGGCAGGGAATATCCAAGATGTGCCTCCAGAAGTGGGGGAGATGCTGAGCAAAGGCCCAGCTCTGGTGTCATCAGTAGAGCCAACACCTGGTGTCCAGATCTTATGAGTGTCTCCTATTCAGCTGAGCTATTAGTCTGCAAGATTATGTAGGGAATTTCTCAATGGGTAGGAAGAGCCCAGGAACTGGAGGGTTAGGTCAAATGAGCAAGAAAACAGCTGGTTAGCACCAGCAAAGTCCAACACTCAAGGCTGAGGTCATACATTCTGAAGATATGTCTCAGGCACCTACTGTGTACCTGGTATCACACTAGATGTTGGACAGGACTCAGATTCCTGGGAGGGGTCTAGGAGGAACAAACAGATTCCCAGATTTGGAAGAGAGGGTAAATGATACCTCCATAGAGATGCAAGAGAAAGGGTTTCAGGACAGGGACCAAATCAGAGCTCAGACAAATACAATCCAAAAAATATGTGCTCTAATAAACAGAAACTCAAAATGCTAGAAATGCATCTAGGTGTCACCAAACCAAGCTTTAGGCATTGGGTGACACTTGAGAAAGTGAGTCCAAGGCATAGAGGTCAACTTATGCACAGACAAGGAATTGGAAAACATTAAAGGAGCTATTCAGCATGTCTGGAGCCAAGTTCAGGTGTTGGCAGGCAGGACAAGATGACTGCAAAAAGTGATAGGAGCCAAGGCAGGAAGGACCTCCAATGTGTCATGCTAAGGATCCTGAACTTCATTCTGAGGGCAATCAAGAGTTGTGGGAATGAGGAATTCAATGGCAAAATTATATGGACTTGGGATTTTCTTTGGGGTAAAGTTTGTAATAAGAGTTTCAAATTATATGACTTTGGAGTCTGCAGGTTTTCTATTATTTCTATTTCTATTCTTTTCTTATTTTGTACTTTTCAAGTAATGTGCCAGTTTCATCTAAACCATCAAATGTATTGACAAAAATCTTTTCACAATATCCTTTTGTTTTGTTCTTAATATCTGTTGGTAGTTTGTGGTTTTTCTGCCCCCCTCAAACCTTGTTTTCTTGATTACTCTTGCTAGGGATTTAACCAGTTTTATTCATCTCTTTCAAGAACCAACTTTTGAATTTTTTACTTCTCTATGTTTTGTTTTCTATTTCATTGATTTATTTTCTTACCTTTATTTTTCTGTCCTGCTGTCTTGTGAGGCCATAATAACATTGAGAATAATAGCTATAAATAATGTTACAAAACAGAAAAATTACAGATGAATCATGCTTACAGACATAGAGGCAAAAATCCTTCACAAAAATGTTAGTTTGAATTCATCACCTGGTAAGTTTTATTATAGGAATGTAAGGATAGTGTAACACTTTTTAAAAATTTTTTAATTTAAATTCAATTTAGTTAACAGATAGTGTAACACTTTAAAATCAATCACCATACTAATAAAACATAATTCACTATATTAATAAGAAAAATCAGAAAAACAATTATAATCCTGAGAGAGTCAGAAAAAAGATTTGATAAAATTAAATTTCTTATAAAATCCTTCAGCAAACCAAAAACAGAAAGGAACTTCCTTAATATGGTAAAAAGTAACCACAAAAAAAACTACATCAAATAACATGATTATTTTTTTAAGATTTTATTTATTTATGTGACAGAGAGAGAGAGCACAAGCAGGTGGAGTGGCAGGCAGAGGGAGAGGGAGAAGCAGGCTCTCTGCTGAGCAGGAAGCCCGATGTAGGGCTCAATCCCAGAACCCTGGGATCATGACCCAAGTTGAAGGCAGATGCTTAACCGACTGAGCCACCCAGGTGCCCCCAAATAACATAATTAATGCAAATTCTTGAAAGCTTTCCTTCTGAGTTCTCAAGTAAGACAAGAGTGCCTGCTAGTACCATTTTTTTTAATTTAGGTATAGTTGGCACAAATGTTACATTAGTTTCAAGTGTCAACATGGTAATTTGACAAGTTTATATGTTATGCTCTGCTACCATAAGTGTAGCTACCATCTGTCACCATACAACACTATTGCAATACCATTAACTGTATTCCCTATGCTATACCTTTTATTCCCTTTTATTCCATTTTTCAATTCCATTTTTATACAACAGTTTACTTACAGGTCTTAGTGCAATAGGGCAAGAAAAAGAAATGATAGGCATAAAATTGTAAAAAATTTTAAAATTCATTATTTACAAATGACAGGATTGTGTACATAGATAAAGGAATGAAATGTTAAAATTAATATTGCTAAATAAAAAGTCTGTATAGAAAAATCAGTTATATATCTGTATATAAGCCTCAAACAAGTGAAATGTAAAATGATGCTATTTGAATAACATAAAAAGAAAAAAATATCTAGGAATAAATCTAACAGAATTTATGCAAGGCCTTTATATGGAAAAGTACAAAACAGTATTGAGAGATTAAACAAGACATATAAATGAAGGAATATATCATGTTCTTGCTTTGGAAAACCCAATATTGGGAAAATGACAGTTTTCTCCCAAATTGATCCAAAGAATCAAAGCAATTCCAATCAAAATGCTAGTGGGTATTTTTGTGTATGCATGTTTGTGTATGGAAAATGATCAGCTGATTCTAAAGTTTGCATGGAAATGCAAAATGCCAAGGATAGCTAAGGAAATGTTGAAGAAGAATAAAAGTGGTGGACTAATACTACCATATGTAGGTATTTTTTAATAAACTATAGCAACTAAGACAGACAAATAAAACAATGTATTAGAAAAAAATAATTTTCCTTAAAGTGTGGTTATTTGTAGTAGCTTGGAATTTTCTTTTTTGAAATGCAAGTTCTTGGGCCCCACCCCAGACCTACTGAATCAGAAGCTTTTGGGTTGGAACCCAACATTTTGTGTTTTATAAGCCATCCAGCTGATTCTGGTACATGCTAAAATTTGAGAACAAATGGAATAGAATGTCTGGAAATAGATGCACAAATATGTGGTCACCTGATATATGACAACATTGACACATAATGCAGTGGAGAAAGGATGTTATTTTCAATTAATTGTGCTGATCCAGTTGAGTATCCACATGGAGAATAATGAACTTGACTCCTGTCTTACTCCATTTGTAGATTTACAACTTTTCTGTAGATCTAAATGTGAAAGGCAAAAAAATAAAGCTTTTAGAACAAAAACATAGCAAATACCTTCATGATGGTGAGGGCATCATTATCAAAAGACATCAAGTGAGTGAAAAGGCAAGTCACCAAGTGGAAAAAAGATTTTTGAATTGCAAATCAGTAAGAAAAAGACAGACAATGCAATTTGAAAATGGGCAAAAGACTTGGGACACTGACTTTACAAAAAAGAATATCCAAATATCCAATAAATATATGTAAAAATTCACATTAGTAGTCATCAGTAAATGCAAGTTAAAGCCACTGAAGGACACCACAACATACTCATAAAAATACTAAGTGCTGAGGCTGCAGAATGACTGGAAGTCTCAAACACCGATGTTGGGAATATAAACTGATAACCCTTTAGAAAACTACCTGGCATTACCTTCTAAAGTATTATCTTCATATGCTTATGAAAATGAGCACACACTGAGAGCCAGAACCTCCCATTCTAGGTATAAATCCAACAGAAATGCTCACTCATGTTCACCAAAAGACATTTACAAGAATGTTAACACAGCATTATTCATAATAGAGCCAGCCCATTAAAAAAAAGAGAAAGAAGCAGACCACATGTCTGTCAGTCATATAATGGACATTAGGGGAAGGAAGGGAAAACTGAAGGGGGGGAATCAGATGGGAAGACAAACCATGAAAAACTATGGACTCTGGGAACCAATCTGAGAGGGGCGGAGGGTGAGGGGATGGGTTAGCCCGGTGATGGGTATTAAGGAAGGCACGTGTTGTGATGAGCACTGGGTGTTATACGCAAATAATGAATCATGGAACACTACATCAAAAACTAATGATGTACTGTTTGGTGGCTAACATAACATAATAAAAGAAATGTCTATTCTCACAATAGAATATAGCAATGAGAAGAAATAGGCTATAACTCATATGCAACAGCATGGAATAAAAACACAAATATAATATGTCCTAAAGAAGCCAGACACAGAAAAGTATATAAAGTAGAATTCCGTTAAGAGAGAGAGAAAGAAAGAGGCAGTTACACAAATATGTTCACCTTGTGAAAAGTCATTAAGATGCAGATTTATGATTTATGTACTTCTCTGGATATATGTTATTCTTTAAAAGTTTAGACTAAAAGTGGCATTAAAATTATTCAACATATTTTGCACTAAACCACAGTAAAATCTGTAGTTCCTAGAATTGAACCAATGTCAGTTTCTTCATTTTGACCAGTGTACCATGACTAAATAAGGTGTTAACATTAGAAGACTAAAATGCATACTGGAATTATACTGTGCTTATACTTGTTTATAAATAAAATTTTTTTCAAAACAAAGTTTAAAATTAAAAAAGAGTGATGGACAAGTCTTACGAGTATTCTTTCATATTCTTTCCACCACGTGGAATGCCCTGCCCTTTTTTCTCCCTTCCCCATTAGAAGTCTCCTGATTAACTCCTATTTATTTTTTTTAAATTGTTTATTTACTATGAAATGGTCCCTGGATTCCACTCTTCCTCTCAGAAGAGACAGAGTTAATCTTCCCTCTTCTTAGCTCTATTGGTATCTTATAAAATAAATATTATTAGCAAATAATATTTGGTTATAATTTATAGTGTTTGTTGTGATTCCAGTTTTTGATGAAGTATCCATTTTGATAGGAACAAGCTACTTGCTCATGGATAGGAGTATAGTTTTTAAACTTTGAAAATAGAGGATGTTTATAAATGACAGTGTGATATGTATGTAGGAAGTCTTTTGGGAATGATTTGAACTTTCTGTTTTGACATCTTTGAGATTATCCCCCAGTTAAGCCTTCCTGAAGCCAACCAGTTATCTAGACCAGATGTCTAAGGGATATTCATCTCTCTGATGCTGTTTTTGAAAATATAGGATATAGTGTCCACAGAATTATCTGGGGAATCTGAAAATGATGATGTACAATATGAGAGAAACAGAATCCTGGAGCAGCCTCAGGAATTGCTGAATTTCACAGTACTTATTAAGGAACTCACAAAGGTAATATTATTCAATGGCCAACTTATGATTTCATTCCTATTAAAGAGCATGTCATTAGCATCAAGGGCTCACTGTGGTCTCCTGAATCTATGTGTATTATTCCAATAGAGTAGAAGAGTTTTTGTGAAGCTGTCTGAGGTCCATAGTGGTCCATAGGGGTCTGATGTATTTTTTGATTTTAACCTATAAATATCCTTTGCTATATTGTGTTTTCTGTATTTTTTAAGATATATTTTACATGTCCAGCTGTTTTGGCTGTCAGAAATATCTCCCTTGGAATCCAAAAGGAGGAATGTTTTGGACTGCTTGGATTAAATGGAGCTGGAAAAACTACTACCTTCGAAATATTGACAGGAGAGGAGACTGCTACCTCTGGGGATGTGTTCATTGAGAATTTAAGTATCACCAAAAATCTTCTAGAGGTAAGACACGATTAATATCTGAGATGTGAGTAGCATGATTACTTGGGGGGAGAGGTAAGAGGCAAGTAGTGGAAGGTGATAGGTAGGAATCCTGGCAGGTATTGATATTGATACTGTTGACTCAGCCAGTGGATTTCAGAGAGAGAAATACATTTTTAGGGGAAGTGATATGATAATAAGAGCAGCCTTACTCTGAGAATCTAAGACAAGAGTGTCTTTACTGTTCTTTGAAACTACTGGAGAGCAAGATGGTGGAATAGGAGGCTCCTGACTTTCCCTCCTTCCATGGCTACACTGAATAAACAGTCACACAAGGATCATTTCCCTCAGAGAAATCCAGAAATGAATTGGGAGATTCCTACACATCATACAATTGAGGAAATACATCAAAAAGGATAGGGTAAGCTGGAACACATTCACTCTGTAAACCCCACCCACAACACAGTGTCTTACATTCAGGAGGGACTCCCCAACTCCCAGCTTCTCCGTGAGCACTGAAAGGTTTAAACCATACATGTAGCTCCTCAATTTTTATGGCTGCCACCCAAGAGACTGGTTCCCAAATCTCCTAGCTCTGGGGGCTGACAGGATGGCTCAGCACAAAGCAAGTAGGCCAACATACCCAGCTCCCAGTTTCTTGCCAGAAGGGGCTAGACTACATATCTAACATTCCAACAAAAGTTGAACTTCAAACTAATCTGCATCTGGGAACTAATAGGGCAGGCAATTAGTAATCTTCCAGGAGCCTGAATGGGCTTGTGGGCACTTCCTCAGCTTTCAGGGCACTGATGGGATTTGATACACCCTAATCTCCTAGGGTCACTAACATAAGTGGTGGTTTGGACAAGCACAAAGTTTTAAGAGGTTTAGAGAATCCCTAGCCACGTGATTTCTTCTCCTACATGAGGCCAACTTGTCTAGGCTGGGAGAGTTGGTTTTTTTATTTAATGTGCATAATCCAATATAGAGTGTCAGGAAAAATGAAGAGACAGTGAAATATATTCTAAACAAAAGAGCAAGGTAAATCTCTAGAAAAAGACCCTAATGAGATAGGTGATTTATCTGACAGAGAATTCAAAGCAATGATTGTAAGTATGCTAACCAAGTTCAGGAGAGCAATGCATGAACTAAATGAGAATTTCAACAAAGAGAAAATGCATAAAAGTATCAAACAGAAATCATGTATCTGAAGGATCCAACAACTGAACTGAAAAATTCAATAGAGGAATTCAACAGTGGACTACATCAAGCAGAAGAAAGGGTGAGAAACCTCAAAGACAGGTCATTGGAAATCCTCTAATCAGAGAAAAAGGAAAAGGAATGAAAAAGTGAAGATAGCATAAGAATCATAAGGGACACTATCAGGAAGACAAATATATGCATTATGGAAATCTAAGAAGGAAGAGAGAGAGAAAGGAGCAGAAAGCTTAATAAAAAAAAAAACATGGATAAAAACTGCAAAACTGGGGAAAGACATAGACATCAGATCTAGAAGATCAAAAGCAGTAAAAAAATAAAAGGTGCATCCAAAGAAACCCACACTGAGACACATAATCAAATTATAAAAAGTTAAAGACACATAATCAAATTATAAAAAGTTAAAGACAGAGAATTTTGCGAGTAGCAAGAGAAAAGTGACTTGTTACATACAAGAGAACCCCCATTAATGATCAGAAAATTGTTCAGCAGAAACAGGCTGTAAGTGGGATAATATAGTCAAAGGGCTGAAAGACAAAAATTGCCAACCAAGAGTACTATACCCAGCAAATGTGTACTTCAAGAATATAGGGGAGATAAAGATTTTCTGAGGGAGTTTATCACCACTAGAACAGTCTTACAAAAAAATGCTAAAAAGAGTTTGTCAAGTTAAATGAAAAGGCACTGCACAATATGAGAGCCTAACAAAATATGAAGCTCACTGATAAACATAAATTCATAGATAAAACCAGAAATGTTTTACTATATTGGTGGTGGGTAAATTGCTTTTAATTGTACTATAAAAGTTAAAGAAAAAAGTATTTAAACAACTATAACTAAATTATGTTAATGGATGTATAATACAAGATAGATAGATATAAATTGTGACATAAATAGCATATAATGTGGAAGAAAAAGAGAGAAAAGCAGAGAATTTAAGTTGTTAAAAAGAGCTTAAAAGAGACTGTTATAAAACATTTTGTGTAAGCCCCTTGGTAACCACAAAGAAAATAAGAAGTTACATTAAAGAAAAGGAAAAGGAATTAACACCTATCAATCATCAATCAAAAAGCAACAACAATGACACACAAAGGAATACAGCAAGAGAGAAAAAGAGGGACAAAAGAACTATAAGACAAACAAAAAACAGTTAACAAAATGGCAATAATAAATCCTTCCCTATCAGTAAGTCTCAGCAGACCAAACTCTTCCCAAGAAAAGAAACAGGCTGAATGGATAAATAATTAAGATCTAACTATGATCTTATTAATTCTTTCAAAGAACCAGCTTCTAGTTTCATTGATCTGTTTCACTGTTTTTCTTGTTTCTACTTCATTGATTTCTGCTCTAATCTTTATTATTTCTCCTCTCCTGCTTGGTTTAGGCTTTATTTGCTGTTCTTTGTCTAGGTCCTTTAGGTGTAAGGTTAACTCATGCATTTGGAATTTTTTGAGAGGCTTGGATGGCTATGTATTTTCCTCTTAGGACCACCTCACTCATACATGGAACATAAGGAATAGTGCAGAGGACAATAGGGGAAGGGAGGGAAAACTGAATGGGAAAAAAATCAGAGACAGAGACAAACCATATGAGACTCTTGACTCTGGGAAATAAACTTAGGGTTGTGGAAAGGGAGGTGGGTGGGGGGATGGGGCATATGGGTTATTGGAATTAAAGAGGGCACATGATATGATGAGCACTGGGTGTTATATTCAACTAATGAATCATTGAACATTATATCAAAAACTAACTATACCTTGGCTAATTGAATTTAAATTTTAAAAAAAAAGGAAAAAAGAGAAAATGGAAAAAAAAGATCCAACTATGATATGTCTACAAAAAACTCATTTTAGATTCAAGGATACACATTGGCTGAAAGTGAAGTTATGGAAACATATTTTATACAAATGGTAAGCAAAAGAAAGCAGGGATGACTATACTTTATCAGACAAAGTAAACTAATTAAAACTGTCGGGAGACACTAATGATAAAAAGTGTCAATTCAATAGGAGGATATAACAATTGTAAATATATATGCACCCAACATCAGAACATCTAAGTATATGAGCAAAGATCAATAGATCTGAAAGGAGAAACTGATACAATAATAACAGGAAACCTCAACAATGGATAGAACATCCAGACAGAAAATCAATAAAGAGTGAATTTGACCAGCACTATATATCAAATGGACCTAACAAACAGAACTTTTAACCTAACAGCAGAAGAATATACATTCTATTCAAGCACACAAGGAATATGTTAGATGACATGTTTGGATGACATGTTAGGTCACAAAACAAGTCTTAACAATTTAAAAAAGATACTGATGTGGTAAACTTTATATCAGTGCCCCCCAAAATAGAATTATCATATGCTCTAGAAATTCCACTTCTGGCTATATAAAATCCAAACAGACCAATAATGATTAAGGAAATTGTAGTAGTAATCAAACCTTCTCTAAGAAATAAAAGCCCAGGGCCAGATGATTTCAGTGGTGAATTCTACCAAATATTTAAAGAATTAATGCCAATATTCCTAAAATCTGCCAAAAAATTGAAGAGAACACTTTCAAACTCATTTTACAAAGTCAACATTATTCTCATACCAAAGCCCAGATAAGGACACTACAATAAAAGGAAACTACAGACCAATATCCCTGATGAATATAGATACAAATATTCTCAACAAAATACTACCAAACTGAATTCAACAGTGCAGTTCAAGCATCATACACCCATATCAAGTGGGATTCATCCTTGAGATGCAAGGATAGTTCAACAAATATAAATCAATAAATGTGATCTACTACCTTAATAGAATAAAAGGTTAAAATCACATGATCATTTCAAAAGGTGCTGAGAAAGCATCTCATGATGAATGCAAAGTGGTATTTCATTGTAGTTTTGATTTGCATCTTTTCTTGCTTATTGGCCATTTGTTTATATTCTTTGAAGAAATGTCTATTCAAGTCCTTTACCCATTTTTTAATCAGGCTGTTGTTTTTTGTTGTTGAATTTTAGATGTTCTCTATAAGTCCCAGATATTAATGTCTTATGGGATATATAATTTGTAATTTCTTTCTCCCATTCTGTGTGTTGCATTTTTACTTTGTTGATAGTGTTTTTTTGAGGCACAGATTTTTAAATTTTCATGAAGTCCAATTTGTCTATTTTTTCTTTTTTTGCTTTTGGTGTCATATTTAAGAAATCACTGCCAAATCCAATGTTGTGAAGCATTGGACCTTGCCCTCCCCCCCACCCCCTTAGTCTGTTTAGCTAGAGGTTTGTCAATTTTGTTGATCTTTTCAAAGAACCAACTTTTGGTTTCATTGATGTTCTTCATTGTTTTTCTCCTCTCTATTTCATTTATCTCTGTTTTGCTCTTATTATTTCCTTCCTTCTGCTAGCTGTATGTTTAGTTTCATCTTTTTCTGTTTCCTTGAGTTGTAAAGTTAGATGATGGATTTGATATATTATTTTTTAGTGTAAGTGTTTAAAGCTATAATTTGCACCTTAAGCAATGTTTCCACTGAGCCATATAAGTTTGGTATGTTTTGTTTTCATTTTCATTCATCTCTATATATTTTCTGACATTCTTTGTGATTTCTTCTTTGATCCCTTGTTTAAAAAGGTGTTGTTAAATTTCTATAAATTTATGAATTTTCTAGTTTTATTTTTATTTTATTTTATTTTTTCATTTTTAACTTCTTCACATTGTGGTTGAATAGTATTGAGTATGATATCTTTTTAGATACATGGAGACAATTTATGGCCTAACATATGTTCCATCCTGGAAAATGT